CACATCATCTAAGGCTCTAGTCATGGTGCCTTAATTACTGTCCTGCTCACACTCTCTTCACTGCTGTCTCAATCAGGATCACTCCACCAGTAGCAGCAAAGCACACTGGCCTCTAATTGGGGTCCTGATGTCAGCTTTGCTTATAATACACATACGTCTTTTCTTTGCTTCCCTCTCTCTCTCTGTGTCTCTCTCCTTCCAACCAAACGCTGCTTGCTTACAGGCATTCACTCAGCCAGTCTCATGATCATGCATCCAATTATAGATTAAAGGCAGAAAGACTCTGGTTCAACCTTAATTGGTGGAAATCCACCTCTCCTCCGCCCCTCCGTCCCTCCTTTTCCGTTTCTGTTCCCCCACTGCCAGGATGGAGATTCACACCTGCTCGCCCACGTAAAGATGGGAGCCAATCCCTGAGGACTAGAGCGCGAAGAAGCGAACTCGTTAAAGCCGCTGCGTGCAACAGTATGCCCCCCCTCTCACTTGCCTCTCTCCCTCATTTAATAGATTTGGAGGAAGAGCTACGGGTCAGCGTGGAGACACTTTAACAGTGCTTCGTAGGTTAAATAGTGGGTTTTAGACACTTGACACTCTGTCATGTACTTCCTATAAGCGCGCACGAATGATTTATTACCTCAGTCAGGTTTCGTAATCCATTGTGCTTTCATTTGTCTAATTACACTCCTGTAATGGGCTCATTTTCCCCTGCCTGTCTTCTCCTGCCCCCACTGATGCACCAGCATTATTCATTTTGGCCCCTGATGTCTTGCCGTTGCATAGATGCTAATTTCCATTACCCCACTCTCTTTTGTCCATAGGAGTGCATACACCTGTTGTATAGCTGTTTGTCAGTGAAAACTAGTTTCGGTGCAGTTTTTCTGAAACATAGCTTCCTAGCAGCTCCGGCAGCTCGTGTCATTAGTCAGCTCAGGAAAAAAAACAAAAACGTCTATTTGTCTCAGCATGGATGCAGAGTTGCATTATTTTCTTTCATTTTTTACCTGTTTGAAAATCCAGGCAGGAATGCACGGTAATGCGCGCTGGGCTAGCAGCAAACTGGTCATACCAATGTACATGAAGGGGGAAGGATACGTACCTCTGGATGACAAATTAAAGGAAAAATCAACTTACATTAAGGGCCTGATTCACTAAGCAGGGCAAATGGGAGCAATGGGAGTGGAAAGTCCTCCGGGTAATCTATTAACACAGTGTAAATTTATAAACACAGGCGCAGCCACTTCAGCTCAATAATAACCTAATGTAGTTTACTAATGGCAGCGCAAATGAGCATAGGGTTGCAAACAAGCAGGCCCGATGAGGGTGTGAGTAATCGACTAACAGCACAGACACAGCTTGTTACTTGTAATCTGACAACATAATGTAAGCGTAGGTTTTACCCACATTTCGCTCAGGAAGCAGCTTGGCAGCACGGGCCAGGGGGAGGCGGAAGAATGGTGGAAACCGGAGGTGTTAATAGAGGAACGACTTAGGAAAACAATACTTTAAACTGGCTCATAAAAAGGGAGTTCTCAACACCACTGTGGTCAAGGTGAATGCTAAAGTGACTGTGTGAACAGTGGAGAAGCCCAGATACAAGGGACAGTTTTGGAAATGTGGAAATCTGTTATACTAATTACAATGAAATAATGAAAATGGTCATTTGAATGTGGTTAAGCTGACAGTTCCATGTATTTCTTGGTAGTTTTTTTTCTTTGAGAGGGATTATTAAAGCTCTGCTTGATGTCCTAGTAATAAGAAGAAGGACAAAAATATCATAAGGTTAATAATAAAGGTTTGGATACAGTGGCTTTTGTGACGTTCTTGATTCGGAAGCTTCAACAAATTAAAACTTTCTTCCAACAAATTAAAAACAACATGCCTTGGCTGTTGATATGTTCTGATGGCGCTTTCCTCTGGTATTCCAATTAAATTAACATTAGAGGAGAAAATTCTCTCCCTTCTGCTCTGCGTGCTCTTGT